GCATCGGTTTTCGCCAGATCGGCGGGGGATATCACAAGTGGACCGGAATATCAACAATTGTTTTCATCGTCGAATAGAAATATCTATCGCGCCCACATATAGCGGTGTGGATTTATTCAATAGACAAGGGATATTTAATAGAACGATCAAAGCCATTCCGCTGCAAAGCCCGCTCTGCTCTTTGATTGTTGCTCTGGAACGTATATAGATATATATATATATATATATATATATCGATATATAGATGTATGTTATAGATATGAATTTTGCCGTGCAAAATAGAAAAATCGACCACTCGATCGGCTTTACTATCGACGTAAATTTTACACGTGTATTTTTTTTTTTTTTTAAGTAATCGATTATGGATTTATCAACTGCGAGGGAAAATATGAACTCTTTGTGAGATAGATATCAAAGTCAGTTCGGGTAATAATAACCGAAATAAATTCGAAATAATAATACCGGAAATAAATTCGAGATTAAGTGTGACACATAATCTCGCGAGTCGAAATCGAATATTCCAGCGTCGCTCGACAAACCTTCTTTCCTTTTTGCGAGCGCAGTAGTCGTCGTTCCGCGAGGAAACGTAATTAGCAAATGGAAACGAATCGATATACTTGTCGCGGGATAAGAAGGGCCCTTCGAAGGATTCCATCGCCATGGCGGATAACGAATTCCGAAGCTCGTCACGCTTGTCACGGCTTGCCAGGCTACTTACCCGACTTGTATAATTATTCGATACCCGAACCGCCGTTGTCGTTGTCGACGGCGGGAACTTAGCGATTCCACGGGGAGCGCGCGTGTTGCGATGCCCCGGGTAAAATTTCTTGACGGTTCGAAGAGAGACGAGGGCCGCTACTGAATATCAATGTAAGGGTTGCCTGTCTCACCGGTCGCCGTCCGGGAGACCGACCAATCGATTCCCGTGCAGGGGACGACGTAGTCGCAGTATCCCCGCGTTAAAGTGATGGGATTCGGGGGCGCTCCCACCCCCTCACGTTTATCCCTCTCGGACTCTCGTGACGTAGCGCTATTACTATAGATACATTTTTCGCGAAAAGTCATGCAGCGTCGAGGACAATCGATATTATAAATTCTGCGCGCGAGGACGTGGTCCAGGAGATAGACGTAGTAAGTTTTTAAAAAGCAGCCGTTATCGTGAAAATTCAACAGTTATTTTAAATGATTACATAACCGTAGCTTTTTTTCTAGTTATAACATCTCTGTTTGACCTCTTACGTGTTTGCACACTCCGAGAGGAAGGTAGATATCGTAAAAATTAGAAAAGGTAAAAAGATCAAACAATTAGAACATTAAAGAGTACCTTAATTATTACAAAATTGTAGTAAAAGGAAAATTAACAAGTCGCATAAATTAAAGAAACGGTAACCATTTGTAAGAAATAGTAGGATGCAATATAAAATTAATGTAAAAGTTTTGTTATTATAATAAATAAAAATGTATTGTTATTACTAGTTGCGGCATAATAATTTATTTTAGAAAAATGTTTAAATAAAGAAAATTGTTATAATCTATAATTGTCACAACGTTATACAAAAGATATGTAATGTATTATATTTATTCTATTATGTTACTACTATAAAATGTTAGTTACTACTATATAAAAATAGTAAGTTACGATACTTTTGATTTTATAAGTTTATAAAATTGATTATAAATTGCAGAATATTTTATCATAGTTGCCAGAAAACTAATTTATTTTCTCTGAGTGTATCAAAAATCATCTAATTTAATTACCATTTGTGAAATGAGTTAAAAAAGAAAAATATGAAAAAGAAATATTGTATATTGAAGAAGGCTGGATGATTAATAAATAAAAGAGAGAGAAAAATGAGAGTCAATATGAATAAAACAAAAATGAATGAATGAATGAATAAAACAAAATAGTACGATGAGAAAAACCCATAAAAATATTAAAATATATTACAACATTAAAATATATTACAATATTTTTCTGCATTCATGCAGAAAAATGAATTTCGATCTATTTGGATATTTTTCAACCTGAATGATACATATTAAAAATGGTTGTTAGCTAATGAAAGTTTAACAGGACTAAAAAGAATGTTGATAATAAATAAATAAATAAAAAGTTTTTTTAAATTAAATTAAGATTTCAAAAGATAATTATGATAGAAATGAATTTAATCAATCAGAGAAAAGCAAGAGAAGAGATACTAAAAATTTTTCGAGTAATCTAAACAACATCAAATCAAATAAAATAACAATAGTAACACAACAAAGTAGTAAACAAATCTAGCATGAGACAGATCTTCCTTCCCGGGTACTCAGATGCGCTTCGCAGGCTCGAAATTTTAAAGGGGGTTCGCAATATCCCAAAGATAATTTATTAAGACGTGTAGAATTAATTACTAATCGATAATCGGTATAATGTGGTCGGCGATCCGATATCAAAGCGATAGATCAGACCGATGTCTATGATCGTACAGCTGTGCGAATACTCATCGAGTTTCGCGTTACCACTCCTGTAATCTTGCTACGATTTTGTTATCAGCGAAGAAGAGGAACGTACGTACGTCGAAGAAAGAGAAGAACTCGCGGTTAATGCACCGATGCAAACAACGCGCATCAGTTTCATGTACAACTCGCAAATGAAAATATTTATTCTACTAACAGTACAGCGAGTCCACGTTAAAAACAGGGCCTGGCTCGCGCAAACAATGGCGCAGCACGGTGTATCAGAGATCGGTGTTTTTTTTCTCCAACGAAAACGTTGAATCAGTGCGAGCGGTGCGTTTGCAGGGAAGTATGTAGAATTGCTTTTGCCGGGAGTAATCGTGCCACGTGATAGTAACGACGATCGTGTGTATTGCAACAAAACTGCGAAACTGGAATTACAAAATCCCCGACGTTTTTCGATCATTTTTTGATCTTCGGGTGTTCCGGCGTTTAAAAAATGTAACGCTACATTTCCGGATTGTTGATCAATCCGGCGAACGATGTTTCTCAGCGATGTATCCTCAGCGCTCTATTTTTGTCAAAGAAATGACGAAGAAATAATGGCGCCGATGTGAAAAGATAATGGGACCAACGTCTGGAAGTTGAATTAACGCTTGATTAATTAATGTCACCTGAAAGTGGATATTTTCCGATCGGATTCGAAGAAATCGAATGAAGTTTAATTATTAAAGCTGTAGTATTATGTATGTAATAATTATCGAGAAAATTGATGTATCCGTAAAAGTGGAATGGATACATGCACTATGCAATTAACATCTATGCAATTAAAATTTAAATTTTAATTGCCGCGATTTAATTCGGATTTCTGGAGAAAAGTTTTCTCTTAAATTAAAATGAATTTTATTTCTCTAAAGTCGTTATTAACAATTTTTTATTTTTTTCTTTGCTTGAGACAAGTGATATCATTGAGTACAGAAGCATAAAGGCATTGCCGTGCATTATTAAATATCAAGAAACAACAATGTAGTTTGAACAAATACACCTCCAACAGGTCATTATTAGAACTTTTAAATTAATTTTTAAAACTCGACAATAGTTAGAATTTGTCAAATGAAGATTAGTTTCTCAAGTAGTATATGAATTAGATAATTTAATTCGATAAAATAATTATTTGTACTACAAATGTAAAGTTAATAAATCTGATCATTATGAAATACTATTTTCACAAAATAAAAGATAAGAATGTAAAAAATATACACATATAACGTAAATGAGGTAATAAAAAAATATATAATTTATTCGTAGAATTTTGTGATACAATTATAAAAAGAAGAGGATATTAGTTTAATATTAGATCATATCATATATCAATTTCTTGCAAAATGCATTTTTTTACAAACATGCTTTCCAAATATATTTGAAATCCTTTAGAAAAAAGGAGATGTTAAGTCGATTACTCGCATTTCTCGAAATTTATTGTTGCCGCTTTTTCCGCGATGCTAATTGGTTCTTTTGCTGCGCTAATTTCGTGAGTTACTGTCAATTTACAAATGACAATTTGTAAAAGGCGGGCGAGATTAGTAGCGAATGAAATTTTGAATCGATTTTGAACAAGGACAAAAATAAAATGAACAAGGATGAATGAGTTTCTATTTTTCATCACGAACGCGGTGCATCGCTATCATCAACGAATAATATAAAAATATATAATATGAAAAGCTTAGTGTTATGTTCTAGTATGTAAAAAATAGTTTGTTTAAACATTTTATATTGTTTGTATCGATTTCCCGATGTCATATGACTTTTGTTCCGTCTATTTCATGAGCTGCGGATATTGGCTTTGTTAGTTAATTCTGTTAACCTG